AGAGAGAGAGAGAGAGACGAGGGAGAGAGAGAGAGACGAGGGGGAGACGACTTGCAAATTTCAAAATTATGTAGGTGGTGTTGTCGTTAGGCACCCCGCCGTCTAACATACATGGCATGAGTTTGATTCATGAGTGAGTAGTTGGGGTTTTGTTTGTTTTTGTTTGTGTTTTTGTTTTGTTTTTTTGTTTGTTTGAATTTGAGTACTTGTTTTCCATAATTTGTCTCTTGGCACCTTTTATTCCCGTCAGCCTGGATTCACCAAAACAGGCAAGGTTGACAGCCTTCCCCCTGATTCCTAAATAATCCAAATTGCGTTGATTGTGGCGTAAAACACATATAATTTCGTTTTGTAAAGAGTACGTGCATGTTTCTACAATATTACTGCTGACACTGCTTTGTCACTATCTTTCTGTCTTTCCTTTAATATGTGTTTGTCACTCGTAAATATCTGCCATTCTCATGTCTGCATAATTTTCACCCTACCATAATAGCCTTATGTGCAGGGTTGGAAAATTTTTCACCGCTGCCTGGGAATTACAAAGTTCTATCTGACAGTTTTGAGTTGCTAAGACTATGAGGTCAGAAATCAAGTGTTCTATCTGCTCTATCAAAATCGTCAGATTATTCCGGATCGTTATCAAGATATTCAAAGAATTGCATTCGAAAAAGCTTAACATGTTGTGAAACACAAAATGTTTGACGTGGAATCTCTCAAAACTAGGTACTGAGTAGATAGAACGTTGTAATTCAGAATTCCAGGGTGGCGACTCGTCACATTATAGCTGCGAGTTTGCAAATGTCAAATGAGGCAAAGTTCTGCCCCGTTCATCCCTCTTCACCGCGAAGTGACGTCATACTTTGCAGCCGCGCGACGAAAGGAAACAATTAATATTTCCTTCTTTGTGTGAGGCATTAGGAGTGTCTATCGTTCATATTATATTATTATGTGTTTGTCATTCCTATGTGTCTTTGTGACTTCTATATAAGCTTAACATTACCACATCTATACATATAATAGTCAATCTTATGTATAATTAGTGTAACCACAGTGGTGTATCACCTCGTTGTGTGTTTGTCACCTCTGTGTGTGGGTTTTGTTACATCTACCGTTCCCTGCTTGCCTGTTTGTCACTCCTGTTCGTGAGTTTGTCACTTAGATCTATACATTTTAAGAAACCTTTGGTGTAGCCGTAATGCGCTTCATGATCAGTATCTTTAATGACTGAAGGTTTATCAAAATGTGTACCGAATAAACGGATTGATCGTTGCCCGCAGAAGACATGTGTTCGGTTCTCGGGTGGGGAGACGACATTTCGTCTGTCTTTGTACTGGTACGCAGTGTCCCTCTCCGCCCCGGTCAGCCCTGGTAGGAAGGGTTAGAGCATGCCTCCTCAATTTTGTCGTTGGGGGAAGTAAAATACTCTTATTTTTTTTTAAAGTTCTTGAGTAGGCAATTAAATTTGTCAATTCTGCTATTCGAATGTGCCACAACTCCTACAATAATCATGTCAATGTGTTTGATAATTAATTATACGTGTGTTTGTCACTATTGAATGCGTCTGCTGCTTGTGTTTGCTACTTCTGTAGGAGTGTTACTTTTGTTGCGTGCGTTACTTGCATCTTTAAAAAAGTTTTACTTCTGTTCGTGTGCTCCTTACTTCTTTGGGAATGTGTTACTACTGCTGCTGTTCTTCTTACTTCTTTAGGAGTGTGTTACTTAAATTGCGTGTCTTCCTTACCTTTTAAGAAATGTGTTACTCCTGCTGCTGGTCTTCCTTACTTCTTTAGGAATGCGTTACTTCAGTTGCGTATATTCGTTACTTCTTTAGGAATGCCTTACTTCAGTTGCGTATATTCGTTACTTCTTTAGGAATGCGTTACTTCAATGGCGTATATTCGTTACTTCTTTAGGAGTGTGTTACTTTTGTTGCTTGAGTTTCTTATTTCTTTAGAAGTGTGTTACTTTTGTTGCGTGGTTTCCGCACTTCTTTAAAAAGCGTTACTTCAGCGTGAGCTTTCCTTGTTTGGGGATCTTGTACGTGTTTCTTACTTTTTAAATTTCTTAAAAGAACGTGTTATTCCTACTCTTACGAGTTTGTTGTTGCTGTTATACGAGATAGCTCAGCCTAGGTTCGTGGTATCTTAATTGTGTGGCCCTTTGAGAGGGAAAACTGATAACTGAGAACTCACCATTGACAGCTCAATACAGGAGGGAGTTTAAAGCATAATAT